TTCCCCGTATAAAGGGTGGGCTATACATCCGTTCTTCAATAATATGTAACACTCGATACTTTATTCAAAAGAACCTTCCGATTATTTATGAAAAACAATTTCAATTAAATGGCTGCCGCGGCTGGCCTGGCAGTAGTCCATCCTCTTAACCCAATTTTGAAGCACATTTTCGATACTTTGTGGGTCTATTTCATCAATAGCTCGACGGATATTTCCCTCAAGAACATCAATTGTTTGAGGATCGTTAATGTAACAGCGGTCCTTTATAGGATGTAACCCATGGGCGTCAAATCACAGCTGCGGGCTGGCCAATGATCGTCTCCAAAAGGGCTGATAACGCGATGACCGAACTTAGTGTGTAAAAGATCGATTGTTTCACGGCTGGTGTGCAAGTGCATCTCGTCTAATAGTAGCCACAAAAAACTCCTTAACATGTTTCTATAGCGTTCCCGTTTACCGTCGCGCTGTTGCGCGCATCTTGAAAAAAGTAGGGACCAATAATCCCATCACTCCAAAAGCTACACCAAACAGGTACTCTTTTTGGATGCATTGGTCTTTCTATGACATGTGGATTTTCAGTACCCCAAATCCTACAGTTCTGCTTGTTAACGTAACCTCCCAAATAGAAATGGGCTTCGTCCGAAAATATTACTGAGCGACCAAAATTGACGTCCCTTTCCAATTGATTTAGAGCCCAGACAGAGGGTTCATCAACGGCGCAGTCTCACCGATGAGTATCATGCCGTCAACTGTAGTACTATCGAGGCTTATTAGTGGTTGCGACTAGGCAGCAGGAGGTGACGTTGCCAGATGGACGGTAATATCGGTAGGACAGGGGAAAATGTCTAGGAACTAACTGTATGGGCATGTTTGACTGGCTTGATCCAATTAAATCGTCTGGTTTAACATATGTGTTGCTGTCTTTTTTCTAAGAGATGCTAACTTGCACGGAATCTGATCCTTTATGAACTGATGGCAGCGTCGCATGGGAAATGCAGAGCATTTTTTTAATTACTGAGCAGCATCTGATTTCAAAATAAGTTGTTGATTTGGTCTCGTCTTGACCGGTCTATATGTGAATGTGTCCATTCCGCAATTCCTGCCAAAAGTAACAATTTTCCATACATTTTTCCAACGACCGCAGTGATAGAGCCCGTATGAATGTCACATTGCTTTTAAAAATCGGGTGGGCGGAAAATGACTTTATTTTCCGAAGAAGAATCAACATTTCTAAGAATAAAAGTTTATTTTTCAGGAATGTACAGACGACAGGTCAACGGACCAATTGGTCGAGACAGATTTTATTCAGATTGTGTGTATTTTTACTGCGACTTTTTTAGCGGCCAACTGAGAAAATAGCCGGTTTTGTGGCGTGACCTTGGACTTGGTCGTCATCCTCCAGAAATATTAATATAACATTAGATATTTATCCCATTTTCAATAGCAATTTATTAAAACCACATTGAATGTCGCTTGTACACTCGAAATAGACGGAAGTGAAAAACTTCAACATCAAAAATCGACTAATCACTTATATCTTTCAGCCTTTTCTTTGTAGCGTAAAATTTTCAACTCTGGCTTACATTTTAAACTATAAAAAATGATATGTTTAAGCCCTCAGTAAAGTTGAAGGTGTTTGTTAAAAAACTGTTGCGTTATCAAACGTTCAAGCGTATACTAATTTGTATTGCGAAAGAACAGATTGAATCAGTACACTACTGTACCTGATGAGATGTCGATGCATTGTGTCTTGAACCTTTTGCGGCCTACTGGCCTTCTGGGGTAAGGCTGCCATTCATCCGTTTGTGTCAGTCTTGCACCCCGGTACAATGATCCGCATCACCCTGTACAAGAACATTCGCACCGCCCTCTACAACGAGCCAGGTGACGCGAACGAAGTGTGCGTGCGTGATTTCGCCTGGACCGGATACCAACCCAGTGAAGAAGTGACACTGTGGTAGAGGTGAATCTAGTTATCATAGGTAGCGTTCGCCAAAACGAACTATTTTACGCAACAATACCGCAATACGCTTTCTCATGTCAGTGGAAATACCGCCTTTCGGCCTTGGCATAGTAGTAGTCTTGTGTCAAATTTTCATCTAAATCCTAGTAGTACTTCCCAAGTTATAGGCGGTACAACGATTAGCGGATAGACCGACCGACGGACAGACGGAAATGAGTTCGTAATGTACATGTCATATAACATCAAAAAAACATATCTCATTTTCGATTACAATACCACCTCACTCAGGGGTGCAGGACACGTCAGCTTTTCACAAGCATGGAGTTCGAAATTTGTTTCGTTTTACATAATATATTCAATCGTCAGTATTTTACTCTAATTCTAATAGTCAGTAGTATATACAAATCTCTTTATATCTCTTCTGCTATTCCTTTAATTGATCTTCCGTCAAAATTAAACATTACCATGCAGGTTATTTACCTTAATGACTATCTCCACGATCTACGATGAGTCTCCTTGGAAGTTCTTAGACCTTAAAAGCCGGCATGTTTTTCGACTGATACGAAGCGCGTGGGGTCAACGTTCGCTTTTGTCAAGCTACGGAGAATGCTTTAAGCTTATCGACGATCGTTTGTTACATATTGGTACACCTTCGATACGTATTTAAAAAAATGAATCAAAAAGGTTGGCTAAGTGTGTACTTCCCACACATTAATATCAATCTGTCTGTGTGTTATTAGTGAGAGGTGACATTCAAGGTATGCTTAATTCCAAGACTTTCGTGCCCTTAAAATTTCTGCTCGCCCAAGAGTGGACTCAAAAGTAAAAATAAACGTAATTATTTTTTTAATTATAAGTGCATACCACTACAAATTATTTTCTTTGATTATACGAGGTCTGTAAATTGAGTTATGCGACTGGCAATGTAGCGTTCGATCTGGCAACACTGGAGGTGTGATCCGCCTTCAGTACAAGGTTGAACTCGCTCGAGTCATTTGGACTGTTTCAAAATGAGCTCCCTTAAGTTTTCTCAACTTCTGGAAGACAAAACAGTCACAAAGACTCAAGTCAGGCGAATAGCCATATTAATCTAGTACTATGTGACAAGGATCATTATCGTGATGTAACACTCAGTTGTTCTTGATCTGATAAATGATGATGTTAGTCAAATTTAACTCTTCTCCGATCATTCTAATTGTCAATCGACAATCTGAACCCACAAGATCCGGGTTCTGCCGATATTTTCATCGGTTCTTGAAGATGAAGCCCTTCCGCTTCGTGGTTAATCTTCAATCCCACATTGCTTTTTGAGGTGTTGGTCGGTACATAGTCGAGATCTCGAGTACCTTTAATAACTTTTTGTCGTAAAGTCTTTTAATCTCACTGTCCTCCTCATGTGGCGACAAGTTATCAGAATGTACACTTCGGAAATCAACTCTGTTGTTAATGGCTGCCGTGTTGAAATGTAAACAAAGCGCTGCTAGCGCCTCTATCGGTAATTAATGTAAATATCCTACGATTTGATCAAAGGTGCATTTCATCCAGTAGCCATGCTTTCAGTATATCGTTAAACGATTTATCATTGATCTGGTCAAAGCACATAATCCTCTGGCCAATAGGATATTGATTCATTTCACGAAACGCGACCATTTCATAAAATGCCCGAACCTTTCATGAGATGGTCAATTTTACTACGTATATGGATACGACACATGCACCACAGACCTGTTCTGATGAAAAAGACGCTGCTGCTACATGACAGAGTCTGACAATGATAGAAGTACGTCGATACATCCTTCGTTTTAACTTATCTCCGAATACTAGAATGTATCAAGTAGATTCTATACTGTTGAATGCACACATTTATTATCTATCTAGGGAATGTTTCATTATCAGTGTTTATCCAGAGGAGAAATCTACTTTGAGGTAATTATTGGAGATTTCTCCAGGTAGCAATGAAACACATTGTGTCTCTTCAAGCAACGCTGTCATCAGGTCATAAAGGATTAGACAAGTTAAACTCTATCGAAATGAAAGAACGCCATAGATCTTATATCCTGGATAGAGGGTAGTTGTTATGCTTTCGCTCATTGTGCCAGAGACCAATACTGGACCATGCTGATGTGTTGCCAAAGAAACATTGGCTGTCTTTGGTTGGGCGGATGAAAGTGGCATGTTTATATTAATTAAACTGATCAAGTCCTCACAACAGTCATTCTTTTTCTGCCCCACCCGTAGGACCATCGATCTGGTCCCATTGCGTTGTCTGCATTAGAATTACCAGAGTTGGAAGTGTATTAATACAGGGTGTTCCTTAATGATATGCGAATATTTAAGGGTGTGAATCTACATGAAAAATTAATGTTAGTTTGCTGAAACGTCAATTCTTCTCCGCCATTACAGGACCGATTTTAAAAAACTATAAAGCTCTTTCGTCCTTGGCATAGTAGTAACCTTGTGTGAAAATTTCATCACAATATAACCACTACTTTGCACGTTATAAATAGGCCAAGGATTAGCGGACAGGCGGACAGACGACATTGTTTTTCTTGATGTACTGTGTCAAATAAAATCCACAAAACACATTTACTATTCTTCCTTGAGAGTATCCGTAGGAAGAAAAATTGATATTGTATCAACATACCGACACTTCCGCGTGGCAGATGTTCTGCGCCACGGAGTGCAATCAAACTCGCTCAGCTACGAGCCGCCAGAATACTATGCTTGTCCGAATGGGAGCCGAGCGGATGTATTCTGGCAGCGGGTAGCTGCGCGAGTTTAAATGCACTCGGTGACGCAAACCGTTTGTTAGGCGGAAGTATCGATACTGTATGTATTACACAGGTTAGTTACTCCGCCGCTTCAAGAGCGACCTTTAAAAGTTCTTAGACCTCGTCCACCGGCGCGGTTTATTTTCCGATGGCAGTGCGATGGGTCAACGTACGATTTTGCCAAACCGCCGAACATTTCCCTACTTCCAGAAATCTATCTCTTTGTAGATGATAACGTTTTTGCAACATTTCGCGTTGTTCACTCATGCCACACAGTTCAAACGTTCAAGATCAAATTCGTTAGCAGCATAATAAGTTTGAATGATAAACTAATTTAGAACGTTTTGTAATAACGGATTTGTTTTCAGGGTCATATTTTTTACGGCGATGATACGCTGATCGTGCACGTAAACTTACGAGGGGTGCTTACAAACTTGCATCTCAGTGATGTTCATTTTTTATACTTTTAACTTCTTGGAGCTTTTACAATGGTTTGGAAAAATGCTGGTGGGCACGCAACAACACCATCCAAGACTAGGAACTTACTATTCCTATTTCCTAGTGCACAAATAAACCTGTATAACTTTTGGCATTACTATAAATTGTTGGTAATCAGAAAGTAAAAACTGTTAAGTAGATTGACTCTTTACTTTCCACACAATACCTTTCACCAAAAATTATACATTCCACATAGATATTTTTTCTATACATTCATATTACTTATAAATTACCTCCTCTCCCTATGCTATGGTCCTAAGAATTCCAATGATTGACTATTATACAAAGGGTAGTATAAAAGTTTTGCAATATGACGTAATAAACGGACGCAGGAGGCTGCATGTTGAGACATCTCCATGAGTGCGTAGTAGCCGCCAACAGCACGTCTGTTGATTTAGTTGTTCATTCGTATTGACAGTGTAAAGTTTTACAGTATAACTTTACGCGTGGTTAATCATAGATCAGTGCTTAGAAGAAATGACGCTTGCATTAAAGAAGGATTGTCCTCATCGTACGACTATATTCAGGTGGTACAGAGAATTCCAAAGGGGCAATTTCACTCTGGAGGACGCTGAGAGGAAAAGAAGGCCGCGAAAGTCAGTAACAAAGGAAATATTTCTGGTGTGAGGAAAATGCTTGACGAAGACCTGAGATTGACAAAACAACAGATAAAGGAGATCTTACACATTCATGCACCAGCAATTCATTCAATTCTGCATAACTATTTACACGTAAGGAATCTTTGTTCTCTCGGGGTACCGCATAGTCTGACAAAAGAGCAAAAAACTCGTCATACGTCTTGGTGCGGAAAGTTGCTGAAAATGTTTGATTAGGGGCAATCCTGGTATGTGAACAGCATCATGACAGGTGAGGAGATTATGACGATGTGCTAACCAAGGCTCAAAACAAAGTTTGGGTCTTTGATGATGAGGACACACCTGTAGCTGTCAGAAAATCCCAATATGTTAAGAAAAGAATGATAGCTGTATTTTTCAAATCAAGCGGGATTATGGAGTGTTTCGTTTTGAACACACAGAAGACAGTGGTATACGGAACAGTGCCTGCCTAAAGTCATAGAGTCTATGAAAAACCTGCGGCCAAAGTCAAGTATTTGACTACTACTGGACTGAAACTTATCGAGCACCCTTCTTACAGGAAAACGGTTTTCTAGCGATGAGGGCCTTCTGAGGGCTTGCGACAACGAGCGTTGCGCACTTCCGGATGAACCTTTTCAGGGCTGGTTTAAGGACTGGTCTTGGCGGATGGAGAAGAGTATATAATGAATGTGGTGGAAATTAGTTTGAACGAATTCAATAAATAATGCATTGCAAAACTTTTATACTAACCTTTGTACTAATACTCCGATTTCACGTCTATGCTGAGCATTGCTTCAAAAGATAAAATATTTATTATGCCTATGACTCGGTTACTTTTAATCTCTAAAGCCAACAGCAGTCTGTATTGTGCACGAGTGTGACGCGACGAAGCAGCAGAGACGTTAAAGCGATATGCTTTTACCCTTTTGCGGTATTAAATGTTTCAAAGAACCAGATCACGTTCAGTACTTGTGCTGCCACCATGCGGATAATAATTCATAATAAAACGTCTGTGGGACCATTCAAGTATTACGTAAGCACTAAAGAGGGAGTCTTTGCTTTGTTTATTTTTGTTGACATGGGGAATGCGGGGGTCTAGATGGAGATTACGTCAGCCATATTCATATTTTTTCCTGTTCGATATTCTATAAATTTTAGTTGATTTTGATTTGAACCCTGCTTCTAGTACAAAAACATACAGGGTGTAAACGTTATGTTAGTCATTATTGAAATGGGTAATAGGGGGGGTCAAAACAAGTCAAAAAGTTCATATGACCCATGGTCCAAAAGTCAATAGATTTTTGTCTAAATGGCTTTATAGTTTACAACTTTAAGTGCTTTATATCGACCACAATCACCACAATCTTACTAATTTTTATAATCTAATCTAAAACGTTTTTAAACTGGGTAATTAACAAATAAATGGCATTAAGTTTTCCTATGTTAATCCAAAATTTGTAGTCACTAAGTAAGTTTCATTAAATTAAATATTTAAAACACACATGACATCAGCGCGTCGGTCATTCATCACTCTTATCGAAACGGCAATCGACCGCCACCGGTAACAGTGGTTAGTTATTGTTCGCGTACGTCGACGTGTTTATTTACAATGTTCTCGAATCAAGAGTTCGCCGACATGTTTTTAGTTTACGGTGAAGCTCGTCAGAATTCAAATCTTGCAGCTCAAATTTAGCGCGACAGATTTCGCCAACGGGTACGCCCAGACAGAAGGACATTTGTGCAAGTGTACCAAAGGCTTCGAGATACAGGAAGTGTTCAGCCCACTAATATTCGCACTCATGAAAGACAGGTTACTGTAGAGCAGGAGGAATAAATTTTAAATATCGTGGATATCAATGCAGATATCAGCACTCGGGAATTAGGCCGCCGCGTAGGACTATCGCATACCATAATCCATAGAATCCTATGGGAAAATTTGCTTTAGAAGACTATCCTCGCAGACTAACATTCTGTCAGTTTTTTTTGCAAAAAAACATTGAAAATCCGGATTTTTTTAAAAACATTCTACCATTCGTGAAGGTCATTCCCAACGACATTTTAAAATAAATATTTGGGCGGGTATTCTTGACGATCAGGTAATTGATACTTTCGAGTTACCCCCAAAGTTGTCAGGAGAAGGATACCTTAGCTTTCTAGCCAATAACCTACCAGAACTTTTGGAACAGACCTTAGATAACATGCCATTACATCGGAGACAGAATTTGTGGTTTCTTCATGACGGGGCACCACCACATATTTTTAGAGGCGTCATTCAGTATTTGAATGAACATTATCCAAATCGCTGGATCGGTCGAAATGCTCTTGATCCTCGAAAATGGCCAGCAAGATTTCTTGACCTCAATCCGATAGATTTCTGGTATTGGGGAGAACTTAAAGGGATGGTTTATGGGGCTGGTCCAATAATAACTGAAGCACAACTTCGCGAAAAAAAATTTAATGCGGCTGAAATAATAAATGGACAACTTCGAGGACCTAGAGTAAGAAAAAACTTGGTTCGTCGTAATGAAGCTTGTGTGGATACAAAAAAAGTGCAGTGTGGGTTTTAAAAAGAAAAACAATGTATGTATCAAAATTCTGTTCCCTATTTATAGGTGGATTTTTTTATACGTTCAATAAACTTTCACACACCAGGTGAAGCGCTGAGACAGTTAGTGTTAAGTCCGTTTTTTTTAATTGTTTGCATTTTACGAGTACATTATTAAATAATGAAATAATACCTAAGAGCCAAAAATTACAAACTCCAACTTTATTTACACTGCGTTCCGTCGTAATTTACGTCTGGCATTGCGGCGTTGTCAGATTTTATTTTACTTTAAAGTTCTCTAAAAAAATGTCGTTTTGACCCCAATGTTATATGAAACTTTTTGCCTCTTTTAACCCCCTCTATTACCCACTTAAATAATGACTATCATAACGTTTACACCCTGTATAACCTAGTAAAACGCAGACTGGCTGTCCTTGATGGTCGCAAACTGACTGGTATGATACTACCTCACGATCATTTTGGGACTCGTTTGAATGGACGTGGCGTTACAGTTAATAAACATTTAGAACGATCCAATTTCGAGTTCATAAAAAATCTGCTTACTTAATACTTGGACCTGGACACTAATACCAAAGTTGCATCATTTACAACCTAGATTCCCAACCCCAGAGTTTTAACCCCTCGGAAAATTTCCTGAAAGTGAGCAGGCATCCCTGAAGCGTCAACAAACGAAGTTTGAGAGATTTTTATTTTGTTTGTGATTTTGCCCGTATCCTTACCGCCAATGAATAGATTTTCAAAAACTACATACTTTTTTCGTTCTTGGCATAGAAGTTAAATTGTGTCAAACTATCACCAATATCTAAGTGCTTTCCGATTTATAAAGGAGACAGACAGATCGATAAATGTCATGTCACATTCAAAAACGTAAAGGATGATCGATGAAATATTATTTTGAACTCGCCATATCCATTTGTGTCTTGATCGGAAGCGTAGTAGTAAAGTGATACAATCCACTTTTGCAAGCTTAATAAACAACGCGATCTATGTATGTCTGAAGCGCAATAGGTAACTGTTTTTCTGCAAAGCACATGTAAACGGAAACTCGACACTGACGTTTACAACGAAGACTACGGAAAATCGTTCACTTTATTTACATTATCCATAAAAAAATAAAACGGAGACCTTCACAGTGCGATGTTCGGTGACGCAACCAGTCAAGGCGCCGCCTACTCGCAGTACTCTGCTTGATTAATATACCCAGAAAAATCAAGCGAGATGGTTCATCCAAGGTTCTTGGGCTGGCCGGAGAGTAAATATTTAAAAATAATCGTTATTAGAAGCAAGGACTTCTGCGAGTTGTGTGCAATGGAAACATTTTTATCGCAAGGAGAAGTCGATAGTTCTGATACCGTTTTATGATATTTGCTTTGCCGAGTCAAACTTGACTCTTTTAACTATCACTGACTCAGTAGTTCAATATACAGGATGTCCTTAAGGTCGCACGTCCATTTTTCGTCTTTACCACAGTATTCAAAATCTTTTTCATTTGGCCATTTCATTGTGTGTATAGAGATGACTAAAAACCACGTTTTTAACTATTTTTGGTAATTTTTTATGCATTTTTTCTTCGATCGTAACTTGTTAACTAATGTTAGTACAGCTCTGAAATTGTATGTGAATATTCCACTTTTATGGATGAAAGAAACGAGTGATTGCTTTTATAGTTCATTTTTTTTTTTGACGAATTTTACGTGGGTTACGCTTATTACTTTTACTTGATTATATGGAATAACACAGACATTCACCAGAAAATATATGAAAAACCGAATTCGTAATGCAATACGTAAAATACCGAGAGCCGAAATTGAAGCTGCAGTTTTGCCTACCTATTAGAGGCTTCAGGAATGCATTAAAAACCTATCTTCTTTAACTCCGTCATCTTTAAGGCCGCAACTTAATAATAAGAAATTCCAGGATTTCCGTATAAAATTTTCTTTGGCCTGAATTTTAGGTTAGGAACAAGGTACTATCGAGA